ATCACGTCATTCAAGAGACAGCTAAAATGAAAAGCATTCCCTCCCCAGACCAGAGACAGTGGCCAAAATAAACTGTGGGGCTGGATATTTCCCAAATCAAACCAGCCTCCTGGTGCTTGAAGGTTTCATTCACTATTACCTGCACAGGATGTAAAGAAAAGAAAAGTCACAGTAGGCACTCTTTACCAGGGAAATAAGGCAGTATTTGAATCACAAGATATATTTTTTATTATCTGCTACCATGGATTCAATGATCTGTAGAGCTTTTTCACTCATTAGCTGTCAGGGTATGAAGGACTGATAGCCTGTAAAGATAAAGATATTTATATTTTTGTATAGTTGTTTTCATAGATTTCTCAAAGGCTGAAGTTTTCAACCTAGAAGATGAGATTTGTATTGAGCATAGAAATGATGTTTCCTATCTAGTTTGTAAATAATCATGGTGCACTTGGGGTCTCTTGGAAACTCCTGGGGGCAAGAATCACTATTCTGAAAATGTATAGATTGGGATTTAGCTGCTGCATTTTGCCTTTCTTAAATAATTATATTTTGGAATGTAACCCCTGTTCTGTCTTCATTGACAGGATTTGCTTGTGTTGTGAAACACTAACACAAGAGCTTCCAGTGCCTGGGCTGTGCCTAGGTGATGCTGTTTCTTCTACATCCCCTGCCTTCTTTATCCCAAATCCCGCTCAGCATATCTTCAGACCTAGGTTGTGAGACCAACTTGGAATGGTTCTATTCAGTAAATTATTACTTCTATGGTTGGTTCCCTTTCTAGTAACTCTGGTAATCAACAGATTGAAAAGGGTGGAAAATTTCCTCTGCAAATTGCAGTGGGAGCAAATTCTTTGTTGGTTTTGTGCTACATACCTTTCTAGACCTGCTCATCAGCACTCAACCTTCCCTTCTCTAATGGTTACTGAAGAAGCTTGAAGTATGTAATGAGTGCCCCTCAGCTTCTCATTATCCCTCCCACTCTTTACCCAGCAGATTTCATTCAATGCCTTAGCCAAGGAGTCCAGCACCTGTCTCCCCTGCTAATAATTGTCCTTGGAGACGCTAATACTTTAATCCAGGTATAGCAGTTTCCCATTATTTCCTTGCTTGTCTCGTCCTCACATTTCCTCCTGACTTCCCAAAGCTCTTGTTATAGCTTTTGAGGGTCAGCCAAGGAGAAGGCGAGTGAATGAATAATCCTCAGGAAAAGGACCACCATTCTGCTTCTGAACACTGTTCCCTTTTTTAGAAGAAAATAGACCAACAGTAAGAATCAGTTTTTGATGGGAGGATATTTGACTGTTTATGAGAGATGTACAAAGATGGAAATCAGAGCTGATTCCAGGTGTTCAAGGAAAGCTGCAGATCTCACTACAAATCCCCAAGATAATGGTGTTTTCAAGACCTCTTAGAACTAGGAAGTCATCAGGGCTAATTTGAGGAGGGCTCAGTCTTCAGAACAATCCTGCAGTCTTGATAGAAATCTAAAATCTCCAAAAACTCCTACCCTTTAACCTTACCCCAGGAGAAACTGATCTATGAAAATTACATGTGTGATTATGAAAGATGTAGTTGAGTGAGAGGAATTGAGGAATCAGGAGGATAGTGAGCTCTTACCCTAACTCTATAAGAAGCATGATCTCAGTAGACCAATAATTCGCCTTTTTATACATCTGTAAATAAATGGAATGTTTTTAAGAATAAAATTATGTCAGATTTAGCTTTTTCTTTTATATATTAAATATATATCTTTCCTTTTCTGCTTTTGAAAAATGACTATTTTTTTAGAAACCTAAGAACAGAAGAATTTGGCGAGTGGAAGGTAGAATGTATAAACTTGAAATAAATCAGTTATAATAATTAAAGCAGGACTTGGTGTTGGGAACTTTGTGCTGAGTGGGAGTAGAGAATTCTAATGCCCTGAGACAGTTGAGAGAGGTGCCACTGAAGTAGTTTTATCGTGGAAATTGCTTGCTATTTTAAAAGTTTCTGACATGCCATTTGGGGGAGGTTTGTGGTGTTCTAAAACACCATGTTTGGTGTAGCATGTTTTACATGGAGACTTCAAAATTTTGTACAACTTAATGGCAAGTGTTTGTCTCAAGACGTTCTACAATGGAGAAAGGCTAGCCTCGTAGTACCAATATGTGCAAGGTAATATGCTTGTTACCCTGGGGAATAACAGGACATAAGACACAGTCTTAGGGGCTAAGGACGATAGATGTTCTTCAAGCAAGATATATGTTAACTAGTATCATGATTTACAAAAAAATTTTATTAAAGGAGTGCTTTAGACATTGAACTACTCTAAGATCACTAATAGATCAAGTCCAGTTACATAAATTTCATACAAATTACTTTGTATAATTTTATAGTAAATGCAAGTTTTCCCCCTAGAATTATGGATGAAATACCTGACAGGAGGCCTTTCTAAAACAAGTTTGAAAAAGTTTTGAACACAGAAGAAAGGCAGACAATCCATATATTTTGGAGGCAGGGTTTAGTAGTATAGATAGTTTTTTTCCCCTAATTATACTGGTTGAGATATTGAAATGGATCAGGTGAATTGAGAGATAAATGCACTTTGAAGAGAGGTCTAAAAAATGGGGATAACCCTTTTTCCTCACCCCCCAGAAGATTAGGAAAACAAAACCAAAAACAATGCACAGAGTAGATAGCACATTTTCAGGTACTTTTATAGAGAATGAGAACCAAGAATCAGAATACATTTCTTGCACAAAATTATTGATTTTGAAGAAAGTGCTTGTAAGGGCATCACTACTTCTTATCATTGTATTATCTCTAATGAAATTTTACATGAACATGAATGGCTGGATGCAGAAAAAATTAAAACTGAGGTAGACTCACTGTCATTTGGAGAAAAAAAGTCAAAAAATGCATTTTTGAAATTTAAGTTAGAGGGAAATGATATACAGCTTTTGAACTGAGGCATAATTGTAGTATGTTAAATATGACTGAACTGCTCTACAAAGATATGTAAGTGTTGAGTAATAGTGATGGAGGTATGTGTGTAGAGTGAGAAGGCTAACCCATGGGATGAGTTGGGAATTTTGAGACAAATCTAAGCCCTACTAAATTCTTCTATTGTTGTAAACTCTGCTGTTAGAAGAGCTTTTGTTAAACAGGAAAGCAGTCTTAGAAGCATTGTTTTGAGATCCATCCTGTTTCCAACTACAAACATGGGTCTCAGCTGTCCCACAGTGCCTTGCATGTAAAGGTGCTCAATAAATATTTGAACTGATGAGCAAATGTTTACTCTAGCCTGTTAGTTTTGCAGGATCTTATAATTGCACCTATTTGCATGTTAAGCCTAGGGTGAATTTTAAAATCTGATCTAAAGAGCATAGTGCAAAACACAATTGTATACTTTTATTCCTAGACATCTAGAATTTAGAATCTGACAACCATGTATACATGTTTAGGACATATACAAGCAGAATAAAAAGTGAAATAGTGTATGGATGGTGAAATACAAGGGTCAACTGCATTTCGGAGGGTGGGATGACAAATATTTAATTTGGAGAAAAGGGAATAATGCTTCTATTCATACTGGACCTATGACTATTATTTTCTAAGGAATTAATTCATAAAGCATGAGAACAGCCTACAGCCTGTTTGCCTCTTGGTGCTTCAAAGGCTGCATGGTAACTAGACACTAACATTGTACTAAATTGTGAAGAATTGAAAATATGTGGTTTTGGCCCTAGACTGGAAGTATCCAGAGTCTGAGGCTTAAGAAATCTCATTACACTGTTATCAGTTGTTTTTCACCTAGATCATCTTAGACAACGAAAGCAGGAGCTTGGATTTGCCTCTGCAATTTGAGCTTCAGATGAGAGTAATTTGGGGAACATTTTCCCTAAGGGATAAACCAGGGTAGCTTTGGACAGGAAATGACTAATGATACTTTGTAAACACCTTTGCCTGGCCATGAGTGGTTAGGTAAGTGAGAAAACCACTAGTGGACACAAAAATGATCTGGAGAGAATTGAGGACAACTCTTATGGGTAGAGATGGCAGTTGCTGGGGAATGCAGCATACAAGTAAGGACACCAGGTGGCACCATCTATTAGCAGTTACAGATTGGCTCCTACCCCCACAGAGAGGTAAAGTTACAGGCTAGCAAGGAGTTGAAGAAACCAACCCCCTATTTCATACTGTGTGGCTAATGACTCTTGCCTCCTTCGTCTAGATTTGGGAAATAAATGTGAAAATCTCATTTTGTATTTCCTTACATCTGCAGTGCATGGTTGAAGGGAAGGAAGCTTCTGGTAGGTATTGCCAGTTGGTTTTCTAGGAGGTGGCTTCCTTGATCTTTGTGTCAACGTGAGCTTTTTATAGATTTCGTTTTTAAAACGTGGCTACAATACACACAGGTACATACTTATTTTGCCACTTGGCTGTACAAGACCCACCCACAGCGATGGGTTTAGAGGTCCTTCCCTCTTGCTAACATATCTCCCCCAGGGGTTCCAAGGATCTGGATAGGCTGAGACAGGTACACCAGTGTACTTTTTCTCTGGGACCCCAAGTCTTTTAGCTTAGGCTAACCTTTTCATAAGGCAATTTCTTGAAGTAGCAATGAGACAGTCAGGCTTCCAGAAAATAAACTTGCAGGCTGAGATCTATGAAATAGGAATATGTAAAAGTATTTCTGTGCCGCCCGCCCCGCCCCCGCCCCCCCCCCCGTTTAGAAAAACTATGCTGCTGAAACTAGTGCCAGCAAGCTTGACAGTGACCTCGCTAAAGTAACAGTACTAGGGAAAAGGTTTCACGAGAAAATTTTGACATAAACGAGGAAAACATCTGGACCAACAAGGTCCTGGTTAATTCTAGGTAAAAGAGCTCGGCGGGACTAGCTAAAGGTTAAAGAAACCATGAAACAAATATATCCCATAGGCACATTCACTTATCTTCCCCTTCCCGCACATGCCTAAAGCTCTATTCAAGGCTATCATCTCCCTCCCCTTTCTTCCATCATGGCCAATCAGGTTGCCCAGTTCAAAACACTTTAGCGATGGAAAGAGTTAGGAGAGTAATTTCCACGTAGGTCAACGCGGGCGGGCAGGCGGAGAGTAGAAACTAATCGCTTTAAATTCCCCGGTTTGGGGTCGATGGGAGCAGAGCCTTATGGCTGTACCTCAATCTTACAATTCTGACTTAGGGGTTAGTTTCAGTTCTGGTCTCTCGGGCCTATCAAATGCCAGCTGTAGCACCCTGCGGGCGTGGTTACCATCTTGTTGGGGCTCTGGGAAGTGCCGATCTCTAGGGGACCAGTCCTGATAATACCATAAAAGGCTTGGTTCTCTCAATTCTGAAGCCGTGTTCTGTTGACCTTCCTCTAGGAGCGATACCGCGGCGGCTCCGTTTGCAGAATCCGTGGTTCTCGAGTCCCATGTCCTCTGCTTCCTAGCCGCTTTCATTGGCTCCGCCCCCATGAACCTTACTCGTCCACTCTCGGAACGCCCTCCTGGATACAGACCGCACCCCCTCGCTGCGGCTCCGCCTACCCCGCCCGTAGCTTGGCCCAGGCGGTAGTTCGCGTTTTGAGCCGCTCGTGCCACCATAGCTGCTCTTACAGCTGCCGCCGCGGAGCTGAGAGCGCCGAGCGCGATGCCTGAGGGCGCTGTGAGCCGGGCGGTCCGACCCCGGGGCTGGTGAGGCCGGGCCCGAGCGGGGGCGCTGGCGAGTAGCAGGGGTTTCTGAGGGAGGTGAAAGAGAAAGGTCCAGGGCTGCTGTGGAGCACCAAGAGCGAGCTCCGGAGGGTCGGGGGTGGGGGAGGGAGGCTCCCGTGGCAGAACGAGTTGCCGGGCCACAGCGAGCCACGCCGCGCCGAGTGTCCCCGCAGCCGCTAACACAGGTGCCCAGGCCCCTTGCGGGACTTCTCGGTGGCCTCTTGCCTTGGACACTGCAGTTGTCATGGGAACAGTTGGGAATTAACGGGGACCAGACCAGCCACTAGTCCTACTAGGGCCCGTCCTATCCCTCCAGTTAAACGCCTCTGGCAGGCGTGGGCCTGGCATTTCGTCGTAGCTCAGGCTTTTTACCCCCCTTTTTCATGGGTCTATCCTTCAGACGTTGTAAGAAACCGCGCAGGGCTTGAAGGCGGGGATGAGGAAAAGGGAGAGAGCAATACCTAGAAATAAGACCTGCAGACACGGCTAGGCAGAAGGTAAGGTGGCCTCTGCCATCTCAGGTCAGTGAGAGGGCATACTGGAAGGCCCTGTGGAGTGGGAAGGCAGTGCCACTGTTGAGACAAGTCCCAAGATTGGGCAAGGAACTGTCCCAGGGGCTCCTCATCATGATGGCTGTGGAAGGGTCAACCATTACCAGCCGGATCAAGAACCTGCTGCGATCCCCATCCATCAAATTACGCAGGAGTAAGGCAGGAAACCGGAGAGAGGACCTCAGCTCCAAGGTGAGTCCTAGTGTTGGGAGCCACCCCTTTGTAACCCTCCCCTCCTCTGCTCCATGTTCCTCTTTCACCTTCCTCTTTCTTTGGAAAGAGGAGAACTAGAAGCTCCTGTTGGCTCTAAAGGATCAAGTGTGCCCGCCTCTGCTGCTCAAGAAAGCATTGATTTAGTTTTAGATTAAAGGAAGAAGAGCACAGGGGTGGGCATGCTGAGAATCATCCATGAAAAGAGAGAAATAGGAGGAAGGCAACTTGGGTTTAATTGTGGCCTCACTACAACCTAAGTCTGTGCTTGGGGAAGCCGGTTGATATGCTATGACTCAGTTTACCTTCTTGGAAGAAGGTGGTGAGACCACATACCCTGTGATGGGCTAAGCTGTGACTAATGTAACTACAAGTGTTAGTGTCACAGCTGGGGTTATGTAAGACAGTAGTAGCAGAAAGAAATATGCTAAAACACCTAGACTGAGGAATTGGCTTGGTAAATGCCCTTGCCTGGGTCAAAACAAATTTATTTGTCTCTTCAAGAGACTTAGATTAATTTAACTGAAGCTTCTTGGCTTCTTAGGAATGGTAACATGCAAGGAGCCAGATATCTGCCCGCAGAACAGTTCTGGTTTGCCCTTGAGCATTACTTATCTCATTCACTAGATGCAGAGAGCTCTGCTGCAGAAGTACCTCAGATGCCAGGTCACTTTCCATCCCCTCACTTGTCTGGGTGTTGGTCTTTATGCTTTCTTCAACTTTGTTGAGCCCCACAACTTTGACAATAAAAAAGTAGACTAAATTTATTTCATCTCTGAGGGAGTCTAGGGCTTTGTTCCCACAGGATCAGATTAGACTTTTGTGTCTTATTAGTAGGCTGTAAACACAGTAGCTTTATGTGGTACAGGATTGCTACAGGGAGAGACATTTGAGACCGAAGCGTTTTATTGCCTTGCCTGTATCACGTAAAGCCAATGAGGAATGATTTAGAGTGCTAATGTACAACATGGCAGGGTTCTGGGAGGGATTTGTTCAGATCCCTACCCCTTAGCACAACCTTACTTGGATTTGGTCAGAAGGTGAACAGCTTTCCTGTATATTTCAGCAGATATTGTATTGAATTGAAATTGGCCACAAGGTTCCATGGCAGTGGAGATAGTGACCTTTCTAAGGTCTCTTATTAATCATTGTTCATATTCTGCAGGGGCAGGAGAATGAGCCTGAAACTGAGAAACTGTCTTAGATTTGACTCTTTTCACTCATTTGTTGTGTTGGGTCATTCTTAATACTGCAAGCTCTCCTGTTCTTGGTTGGTAACTTGGCAATGATCAGCACTATTAGAGCAATCTTCTCATTTCTTTGCTCTCTTTTTCTGACCAAGAATGGAATCGATAGTAGAAATGTATGATAATAGTTTAGTCTTCCGTGTTAATACTTCTTGTAATTTTGGTCTGGAATCCAGAAGGTACGATTACCATTCTTTACAACTTCTCACGTCATTCATCATTAATGCATTCAACAAACATTTATTGTGTGCTGATTATGTGTGGAATCAGTGATGAATAAAACATTATCCTTGCAATCAAAAGCTTGTGGCTATCAGACGTGTAAACAAATAATTACAACATGGTGTGGCAAGTGCTGTCCTAGAAGTATGCATAAAAGTGTTAATGGCAGCACAGGGGAGGGACCCTAAATTAGCTTAGGGGAATTAGGAAAGACTTCGCTGAGGAAGGGAGGCTTGAACTGTTGAGTCCTAAGGCAAGAGAAGAGGAGAAGCTCTCCAGGAAAACAGTGAGAAAGAGCATCCCTGGCATCACCATTAAACATTCCTGTTTCAAATAGGAATTCATTGCTTCAGACAGCTTTAAATGGCTTTGTTTGTCCTAGAGCTGTGAATGAAGGGAATACTTAGCTGAAGTTGAATGACCCTTGAATAGTCTGACAGCAAGAGTGCTGGTGCATATCTTTAACACCCAAAAGTAGTAGCTGTCTTTGCCTAGGACCCTGCAGATGCCTCACTCCCCATACTCTTAATTGAAGACTCTACCTAAGGTGATTCTAAAAGCCTGCCTCATTGTAACCCGTATAGGACCTGGTGTATAAGGCTTCGTGAGCTGCTGTAATATGTGGTGGCTGTGGGTAATCCTGGTAACAGAGAGCTTGTGATTCATGGATAACTAACTATGAAATAAAATTTGAAGACCAAAAGACATGTGCCTTTTCTGTAGGGGCAAAGAAGGAAGTGACAGAGGGCCTTTATGCAGCTCTTACCTCAGATGGCCTGCTGCTTTGAATCGTACTGTTCCTTCTATCTATAGTAGCCTTTTCACCAAATTCTCCACTTATTTTTAGATCTAACTCTGTATTTACTGGAGCCACAGGGCCTTCTCTCACTAGCCCCACTACCTTGGAACCAATCTCTAATTGTTCTTATATGTATGTCTTCATTTCCTAAGGTCAGGGGTCATGTTCTTTATTTCCTTTACATCACACTGTTTAGAATAAGTGAATGAGAACAATTTAAAGATGTCAAATATAGTAGAGATAAACTTGGAATTCCAGAAGAATAGGAAATGATCAGGAGGAGTTTGTGACCTCTAGAAGAGAAATCAAATTTAGGAATAATAAAATGTTGAAAAGAAGTAGAGATGCAGCCTATTTAGGTGTGAAAGGCGTAAGCGAGAAGGGGAAGTACATATACGCAGAAAATAGTGCTCATTAAAGGCTTTTTAATTCAGGAGAGACCTAGTTAAAAATATGGTTAAAAGCTGAAGTGATAGCCAGTAGATATGAGGATTTAAGTTATTAGAGGAAGAATAGATGAGAGCTGAGATTTTTATGAAACTTTCTGTAAGGGAGGGAATTCTCTGCAGTGTAATAGAATTGGAAAAGAGTAATTTGAGGTTTTATGCTAGATCTGCTGAGTCTTGATGAAGTGTAACTCAAAGTTATCAGTTGTGAAAACCCTTCAACTTCAAATCCTGTGCAATTGTCAGTTCTACCTCTCATCTCAGTTGAGGCTTTGTTTTCCTTAGGCAAATGTGTGTGCTCTTGGTAGTTAACCCTCCCCCTCTTAAAGTTGCTGAAAGATTTTCATGTGGAGGGAGCTGGGTTTTCTGTTTTAACAAAGGACAGACATGGACTGAAGCCGAGCAGGCAAGATTTAAGTTGTAACTTAAGATTTAAGTTACAAAAGGATTGCCTGTGCTGGAGGGTTGTTAGATTTTGAAAAAGTAAATGAAGGAGGTTTTGAAATCTTCCTCCTCCTTAATAGCCATTAATCCAATCTGGGTTATATACTATCCCTTCTGGAAACAATGGGCAAGTTGACTTGCAGCTTTCTTCTAGTTCTCAGTTTTTATGAATGTAAGTCTAATTCACTCTCTCTCTCTCTCCCTCTCATTTTTTCCCAAAATTTTCTCCTGTTTGATTGTATGGTGGTGCTTGGAGCCTTTTAATATCTGGCTCTAAGAGGAGTTTGTGTGGGTGAGTTTCATGGAGGAGAAAAAACTGGCAATAATATAATTTCAGCTTTTGCTCCATGTTTGAGCCCAGGTACTAGGATTGAGCCTCTTTAATCTGTCTATTTTGTAGTGGGGAAACATACTCATTTTCAAAGCGTTTATGGGTCATTGGCTCTAGCTTGATGGCTCTCAACTTGGTGGGGGTCAAGAGGGCAGTGAGACATCAGAATACCTGTGCAACATTTTAAAAATACACATTCCTGGGCCCCATCGTAGCTATATGGAATCAGAACCTCTGGGGGTAGAGTTTGGTAGTTGAATATGTATTAAGTTCAACTAGAAGCCTGCTGCTGGGTTATGAACCCTTGGCCTGGGCGCTAGGACCCTGAAATCTGTTGGCTTCATACCCAAGTCCTCAGTGAGGCTTCTTGAGAGTAAATAAAGCTAGCCCAGTGAGTGTACTCTTCTCGTTGAGTTGTTTTTATCTCCACTGTGTCTTCTAGACTGATTGCTCTGTAAACTGCTATGTCAGGGATAGATCTGAGAGAACTACCCTGTTGTAGGGTCAGATAGGAGGAGCTGATCATTGCCTTACTAAGACAAGTTGGCAGGAATTTCCTCTGGGGGCAGGTATAGGAAACTTTATGATAGTATCCCGGAGTCCCGGCCAGTTTTTTGTCACAAGTCCGTTACCCACTTTCCTTGGAACTCATAGGAACCAAGAGTTTTTAGTGTTTAATACACACTCTCTGGGCTCCCCACTTAGAATAGATGACCAAGAGTGGATGCCCCTGTGGCCAACAGTCCTGCCCCTCACCAGCCTTTGTGAGTGAACTCAGGCAAGTTCTCATTGAGTTTTCTATCTCTGATGTATTCTTCAATTAAGGTTTGTGAAGTGTCTTGAGATCCTCAGAACAGGTGGTGTATAATGAAAGTGTGAGGTTTTCTCCTGGTTTTGTTCCTTTGATCTCCATTTCCTTTCTCCTTCCGGTGCCTGCAGCTGCCCTCAGCCTTCAAAGTGATTCTCACTGGAGAGAGAGGATTCTTCTCTCCCTAGCCCAACACTCTTCCTTTACTGCCTAAAATAGCCCAGCCTAAGTTGTCTTGCAAAGCCTTCCCTCATCTACTTGGCCTCACTCATTTCAGAGTCTTACAGCCCTGCTGCTTTCCACGTTTCTCAGCTTGCAATTTAGGGCAAGTTTCCGCTGTTGGATCAGTTAGAGTCATTGTCTTATTTCTTGCCAGTATTTTGAATGTCTTTGAGGCCGCTGGTATTTCTCTGACTTCATTTTTCTCTTCCATTTGTCACCTGTGTGTTTTCGTTTCTTAACTAATGAAAAAACATTGGTAGAAGTGAGGCTTCAGCCTGACCTCTGTAATCTCTCCGTCAACCACCCGAGTCTAAAGTTGGGCTTGTGGCTGTTATCACTGTCTCTTTGTTTGGAAAACGGTCTAGGGCTTGAAATTTGGGACTATGTTTATTCAAACTAAGCTTCTCTGGGAACATGGTCTGTCCCACTGTTGTTCTCAGAGTATGTGTTGGTTTTACTTCAT